CAATGGAATGATCTACCATGTTCTTGGATACGTAGAATCAACACAATCAAATGGCAATCTTGCCTAAAGCACTCTACAGATTCAACCCAATCCCTATCAAAATCCCAGCACACTTCTTCACAGACCTCGAAAAAAAAAACAATTCTCAACTTTATATGGAAAAACAAAAGACCTAGGATAGCCAAAACACCCCTGTACAATAACAGAACTTCTGGAGGCATCACCATCCCTGACTTCAAGTTCTATTATAGAGCTATAGTCCTGAAAACAGCTTGGTATTGGCGCAACAATAGACAGGTAGACCAATGGAATCCAGTTGAAAACCCTGATATTAACCTGCACACCTATGAACACCTGAATTTTGACAAAGAAGCTAAAGCTATACATTCAAATAAACAAAGCATCTTCAACAAATGGTGTTGGCATAACTGGATGCTGGCATGTAGAAGACTGCAGATAGATCCATGTCTATTGCCATGCACAAAACTTAAGTCCAAATGGATCAAAGATCTCAAAATAAATCCAGCCACACTGAACTTATTAGAAGAGAAAGTAGGAAATACCTTGAAGGAATTGGTACAAGTTACCACTTCCTGAAAATAACACCAGTAGCACAGACACTGAGATCAACAATTAATAAATGGGACCTCCTGAAACTGAGAGGCTTCTGTAAGTCAAAGGACACAGTCAACAAGACAAAACAACAGCCCAATGAATGTGAAAAGATATTCACCAACCCCACATCCAACAGAGGGCTGATCTCCAAAATTTACAAAGAACTCAAGAAGCTATTCTCCAAAACACCAAATACTCCAATTAAAAATTGGGGTACAGAAATAATAGAAAATTCTCAATAGAGGAATCTAAAATGGCTGAAAGACACATAAGAAAGTGCTCAACATCCATAGCCATCAGGGAAATGCAAATCAAAACAACTCTGGGATAACACCTCATACCTGTCAGAATGGCTAAAATCAAAAACACAATTGACAGTTCATGTTGGAGAGGATGCAGAGAAAGGGGAACATTCCTCCACTGCTGGTGGGAGTGCCAACTTGTACAGCCACTTTGGAAATCTGTATGGCGATTTATCAGGAAAATGGGAATCAGTCTACCACAAAATCCAGCAATTCCACTCTTAGGCATATACCCAAGGAAGCACATTCATACACCAAGGACATCTGTTCAACGATGTTCATAGCAGCATTATTTGTAATAGCCAGAAACTGGAAGCAACCTAGATGCCCCTCAACTGAAGAATTAATAGAGAAAAGTGGTATATTTACACAATGGAGCAGTACTCAGCAGGATAAAAGTAGAATATTGAAATTTGCAGGCAAATGGATGGAACTAGAAGAAACCATTCTGAGTGAGGTAACCCAGTCACAAAAAGACAAACATGGTATGTACTCACTCATATGCAGATTTTAGACATCAAGTAATGGATTACCAGCCTACAATCCACACAGCCAGAGAAGCTAGTAAACAAGGAGGACCCTAAGAGAGACACACATGGTCCCCTGGAGAAGGGAAAAGGGACAAGATCTCCTGATCAAATTGGGAGCATGGAGGGAGGGGAGAGGGAACTAGGAGAATGAGAAGGGGAGAATAGAAGGGTGTGGAGGACATGATTGGGCAGGGAGTTTGAGTTGGAGGAAGAACAGAAGAGAGCAAGATAAGAGATAATATAATAAAGGGAGACATTATAGTTTTAAAGAGAAATCAGGCACTAGGGAAATGTCTGGAGAGATACAAAGATGACACCAGCTAACAATATAAGCAACAGCGGAGATGCTGCCTTAAATGCCCTCTCCGGATAATCAGAGTGATGACCAATTCATATGACATCGTATAGCCTTCATCCAGCAGCTGGTGGAAGTAGAAACAGACACCCACAGGTAAACCTTGAACTGAACTGGAATCCAGTTGCAGAGAAGGAGGACTGATGAGCAAAGGGGTCCACACCAGGCTGGTGAAACCCACAGAAACAGATTAACTGAACAAGGGAGAGCTCTTGGTCCCCAGACTGTTACCTGGAAACCAGCATGGGACTAATCCAGACTCCCTGAATGTGGGTGTCAGTGAGGAGACCTTGGAAATCTATGGGACCTCTTGTAGCGGATCTAATTATACCTAGCATAGGAATGGACTTTGGGAGCCCATCCCACATGGAGGGATACTCCCTGAGCCTAGACACAAGGGGGTTGACCTAGGCCCTATCCCAAAGAGTAAGACACACTTTGAAGACCCATTGTGGAAGGCCTCACCTTCCCTTGAGAGCAGAAAGGGTATGGGACAGGTAGGGTGTTAGTTGGGGGGGGCAGGGGAGGAGAGGAGGGAAAGGGACCTGGGATTGACATGTAAAATAATTTTCTTTTTTTTAAAAAAGAAATATATATCTATATATCTAGAAAACCTAATTAACCTGACTATAAGTTTTGACTATTATTGGTGACTATATATAATTTGTATTTAATTATACATTCCATTTTTAAATGAGCTATATAAACACAATATCTAAACAAGAGGAGAAATATACATATAACAAAACTTCCCTTAAATTTGTATCAATAAATCAAAATTCAATGCAAAGTATTCATTTCTATATCATAATCCATTTTTTCCTTTAAAAAGAGATTGCCTCTGATCATTAACCAATTATAAACAACCCCAGTTAAATGAAAACAAACATTTATAAACAATATTTGGGAATTGTTCCCTCCAAACTATTTCCTGCTGTTTGGGGGCACTATCAAAACCATGGGGATCATGAGAAAACACAGAAACCTGTCCAAATCCTGGCTGTAGTAGTCTTCAAGGCTGCACTGCCCCAGGTGTCGTGGATGTTGAATCACCTGGGCCACTGCTTCAGGGGTCTTCCTTCATCAAACCATATTAGTCTGGAAGGAATACACAACTTTTCACTTTCTGTGGAAACAAGAAGAAAATCTCTTTTTCTAAGTAACATGTACTTAGAACTAAATTTCTGGGTTTTGCTTTCTTTTTATTTAAATTAGAAACAAGCATTTTTTTTACATGTCAATCCCAGTTCCTACTCCTTCCTCTACTCCCCTCCCCTCCATCAACCCCTAGCCTGTTCCCTTTCTGCTCCCCAGGGAGGGTTAGGCCTTCCATGGGGGATCTTCAAAGTCTGTCATAACATTTGGAGCAGGGCCTAGGCCCTCCCCTGTGTGTCTAGGCTGAGAGAGTATCCCTCTATGTGGAATGGGCTCCCAAAGTCCATTAGTTTATTAGGGATAAATACTGATCCACTGCCAGAGGCTCCATAGATTGCTTCTAAACTGTCATCCTCACTCAGGGGGTCTGGGTTGGTCCTATGGTGGTTTCCCAGCTATCAGTCTGGGGTCCATGAGCTTCCCCTTGTTCAGGTCAGCTCTTTCTGTGGGGTTCTCCAGCCTGGTCTTGACCCCTTTGCTCATCACTCCTCTCTCTCTGCAACTGGATTATAGGAGTTCAGTTCAGTGGAGAAACCAGTTTTATTCTTTTTGAAATAACCTGCTTTCTCAAAAATTAAATCATCAATTTCCCAAGAAAATGATATTAGTACCTTCTGATGGGATCCCCCACAACCAGTGACATAACCACATTTTATTAGATCCTATGACCACTTCACATTTTATTAGATCCTTTCAAACTGAAGGCTAGGTTTCTAACACATGAAGTCTTATAAACAACCTATCTGAATCTGTATAATTTCTAATCTTTTATTCATTATAGGCAGAGTAATCCTCAACTCTGTAACTTTTCTACTGCTGATATAACAAAATAATAAATTTAGTGGCTTAAAACCACATCTATTCATAACTGTACAGTTCTATAGATCGGAATCCAGGTACAGAATAGGCTACCTGGCTCCCCCCAAGATGCTGGTAAGGCTGTTTTTCATATTGGAGACTCTAGAAGAGAATCAACTTTCATGTTCACAGTGTTGACAGGGTTATGTTGCTTGTAGTTATGAGTCTAAAAGTCCATTTCCTTGCTGGTTATCATTCAGAGCTTCTCTCAGCTCCTTCATCTTTCCAAGCCTGTAACAGCCAATGTAGTCCTTTATGATTTAAATTTCTCTAACTACCACTACTGTCATGTCTTCCCTTGCATTGTTCTGACTTCATCTGGAGAAGTCTCTTTTGAAGGGTTTATTTAATTAAATTGGATCTACCTGTATAATCTCAGCTACTTTCTCCAACACAAGCACTACAGCCTAAATTACATGTATGAAGTTGACTCCGTCATAGAAGAGAATATTTAGTTTCTAGGGATTAGGGCTTGTGCACTTTTGAGGGGAACATTATTTTGCCTAACACATTACACAAAACCACTTATTTAGAAAGGAACAGAGACAGATGTGAGTCAAGTCATTTGAAGGCTCATGTTCTTCCCACAAGTTCACATGACCTTTCTAACTATGTTTAATCAGTTATGGCATATAATGAATAGAGAATAAGGGCATAAAATATCTTAAGCAAGACATAAATGATATTTATAAACAAAATCTTTCCAATTTTCAACATAATTTATACCTTTTCAATAAAGTTAAAGCTTTAAAAAAAAGTCAATATTATTTTGCTCCACATTCTGACAGAATGGTGAGAGTGTATATTAAATATACACATCTTTTCCCAATAAAAACAGATGAAAATCACCAGAATCATTTTGGTAATTTATCCAAGAATGAGTACGCTTATTCTTGGCAGAAGTGAAGGCACTTAAAACACAAAACACTCTCCTCTACGATCCATTAACACAAGAAATGCCAAGAGTTTCAATATCCAGACATACACTGCCAATTGTCAGGAATAGCACAGGTCTCTCAGTATTTCCCAGTAGGGGGCAGGCTGACTCACTGAACCATGCAGCAAGGGCGTGTTTTCCTTTTACAGTGTGTTTATGAGTCCCACATTTCTTTAGATCCAGACACAAGCAGAGCCCTTGTCAGAGTTACACCAAGCAAAGTAAACAGTAAACCCATTAGAGATCACTTTTTAAACTTGAATCTGCCCATCATTAAGGTGTCATATAGACAATGGTCACATTTAAATTAGATGCTTAAGAACTGCTTGCTTAGTATATCTCCAATAAATTCCCATGTCCAGTGATTCATACTTCTATTTTGCCCAAACAGGAAAGCATTTGAGATAGGGTAACACATGCCTTGCATTTTGCTCTCCAAGAATTCATGATTTAATTGGGAAATTATAGACTATATACAAGTATTAGAAACCTGT